TGGTCAACACAAGTCCACACTTCTGACCAAAGGCAACTCGTGAGTCCAAGGTCGTCGGGGCCCGCCGGGGCCCGCCAGGGCAGGTCATCTGACTTCTGCCTTCTCTGCCCTTCCCTGGGACCTGCTGTCCTGGCCTACTCTCTGCCTGGCCAGTGCGTCGCACCTGGACTATCTGCCTGTGGATTCTGTTCCAGCTACCTTGTGTGCCTCACCCACACCTCTGCCACGGCCCTCCTCAACCTTCCCCTGTCCAGGCTGGGTGAACGTGCCTCGTCCCCAGAGGCTTCCTTCCCTCTTCTTCCCTCCCTCCGTCTCTCTCACTCCTTCCCCTACCTCCCTCTTCGTTTGTGTGTCTGCTTATTTTTTGGTAGAAGACACTTTATAGCAGTCCGAATGTTTATTTTTCCATCTTTGACAAGAATCTGAGAGGAGGTCTTTTGGGGCCAGAGCACCAGGGGCTGCCCCAGCTTCGTGCTGCCTCGGGAGCAGTGCTGGCTGGTTCTGCAGCAGGCTGAAGCGGCTAGGCTGAGAGCTGGGAAGAGGAAACTGGCCAGCTGCAGATGGGGGTGCAGGGGTCTTTAAAATCCTTCTCTGAGACTGAGGCCCCCTCCAAGCCCCAGGGCACAGCCCTCACCCTTTGTAGGACACTCCTCACGCTTCCCAGCTCTTCTGGGGGCCCTGCCACCCATGGCCAGCCTTCTGGGGATGCTTAAGCCTCTCCCTGGACCCCTATATTATTTGGGGGCTCTGACATTAAAGCAAGAGGATTAGATTCTGAGGAAGCAGGTGGAGGGTAGGGTCCAGGATGGCCCGTCTGTGTTCATGTGCATATGTGAGCATGTGTGCATGTGTGTGTGTTTGTGTGTGTAGGGGACAGGATGGGGCTCAGAATTCCCCACCTGACCTCCCAGAAGAGGGGGAGGTGAGGAGGCCTCAGAGGCTTTTCCCTGTGAAGGTCAACAGTGGGGTGTCCCTGTGTGCTCTGCTGTGTGGAGTGCTCCCTGTGTGCTCTGAGTGCTCCCTGTGTGCTCTGCTGTGCTGAGTGCTCCTTGTGTGCTCTGAGTGCTCCCTGTGTGCTCTGCTGTGCTGAGTGCTCCCTGTGTGCTCTGAGTGCTCCCTGTGTGCTCTGCTGTGCTGAGTGCTCCCTGTGTGCTCTGAGTGCTCCCTGTGTGCTCTGCTGTGCTCTGAGTGCTCCCTGTGTGCTCTGAGTGCTCCCTGTGTGCTCTGCTGTGCTCTGAGTGCTCCCTGTGTGCTCTGAGTGCTCCCTGTGTGCTCTGCTGTGCTCTGAGTGTCCCTGCGTGCTCTGCTGTGCTCTGAGCACTGCACTCAGCACATGGTGAGGGGCCATAAATACGGCTCAGAGAATGAGGAGGACACAGCTCGCTCCTGCGACAGACTGGACGCTTTTGTCCCCAACAAGTGGGGGAATGGCAGGCTGTGGCCTCGACCAGGCCCCGCCCACCGTGGTCCCTGCCACTGCGTGGGCTCGCCCTGAGAAGCCACCTGCAGCCCAGCCCAGGCCCCCACTCTGCTCCCACCCCTGCTGGGCTGCGGGGCCTCGAGAGCCTTCGAGGGGACTTGGTCACTGGGCCTTTTGCCTCCCACTGTGGTTCCACTCCTTCTGCCAGCCACAAGCCTGGAGTGAGCCCTGAGGTCCCCTAAACCCCGCAGCACCAAGGGGTCGGGTGTGGGGCATAGGGGTGCACGTGGAGGGGGCCATAGGCCTGTGGTCTGTGCTATGGGTGATGGTTGGTGTCTCCCACTGCGCAGTGGGGAAAAACATGCCATTACAATCAGGGACAAGCTGTTATCTCCCACTCAGCTCAGGCTGAGGAAAACAAAACCAGGCTGGGCCTATCGGTGGGGCTAGGACGCAGCACCTTCGCCCAGCTGGCGGCAGGGGAGGGATGCAGGACGCACAGGACTCGCCTACCAACGCCAAGGAGGCTCGGGCCCAGGCAGGGGTGGCTGCGCTGGGGTGGGTCCCCGCGCTCTGGACTCGGCAGCCTGTGGATCGCTCATGTCTCCATCCTCTAAGCTGGCGGCTGCAGGCGGGGCTGGGCACAACCCGTTAAAATGAAATAACCTCCTGTCAGCTTGGCTTGCAAGGTGCGGAGGAGAGGTGTGGGGGCGCCGGGAGCATCGCCTTCAGCTCGGCCTCTGGGGGGATGTGAAGACATTTGCACCCAGAGAAGGTGGCCTGAGTTTCAGGCATAAGACGTAAAGATCTCTGTGCTGGGGAGGGGAGCAGTGGGATTGGAGCTTCTGTTGGGTTCCTTCATCACATCTCCCCACCCTGTCTTTGCTCCCTCTAATTCCTCCCCATCTCCTTCAAGGGGTTAGGTTCCCTGGCCCTGGACTGGCTGCCAGGCTGGGCAGCATCAGTGTCCATGTGGCCTCAGGGGATGACTGGGGATCCCCAGGGATGGACTCTGTTTCCATTCCTTCCTGTGGGCGCCTGCCCTGCCAGGGCTGCTCTGGGGAGGGCAGCTCCATCCGCCTCAAAGGCAAGAGAACTGATGAGTCAGGAAGGGTGGCAGCCCCGGCAGACAGCCCGCCTCTCCCCAGGCTCTCCTCCCACCCAGGCCCTGGGCTGCTTCTGCTTTGGGGGTGGTGGGAGAGAGCAGCAGGGCAGGAGTCTCCCTGGACCACCTGCCTCCATCCTGGCTCTGGGAACCCTGTCTGGGGAGGAGGTGACGTTGAGAGTTGAAGCAAATGCTTGGGAATCGCCTCCAGGACCAGAAGGGTATCCTGTGGTCTCCCTGAAAGCCCCGACAGGACCAGGGGAGACTTGAGGGCTTTCAGATGCTTCTGCTTCTCTGGTCACTGGGGCAGCTGGAAGCTGGGGCTGTGGGGGTGTGGACACCAGGCTCAGAGGAGGCTTGGCACAGATCTTCAGTCCTCCACAGACCTCCTTGCCCAGGGCCTGGTGCAGTGTGAGTTCTAGCTCTTGCCTTTTCTGCTCCTGCTGAGAATCAAGCACTCAGGTTGCAGAGAAGCCTGCTGCCTGCTTTCTCTCCCCACCAGGCCAGGCCCCTTCCTGGGGCCCCTTCCTGCCCAACCTGGGCTGCCTTCCACCTCCACCTGAGTCCTCTACTTCTGCTCAGGTCCCCTGCCCCCAGGCCCTCTCCCAGCCACCTCCTTGGCTGCATTTCATCCATGGAACTGTTCATATTACTTATACTTTTGCCATTGAAAAGTGGCTCCCACGCCCAGCACTGGGCACTGGGCTCGGCACCGATGGTCCCTGAAAGGCCAGATGTTCCCCAGGCATTGCTCCAGGGCTGCTGAGCTCTCTGGGATGCTGGTTCTGCTCTTCAGTGTGGGGGTTGTACTCCATTCAGTGACTGGATTTTAGGAAAAGAAACAAATTGGTTAAGGTATTATTGTTGTTGTCGTCGTTGTTTAAAACCCCGTTGTGAAATTTCTGGGTGCTGCCAGTGGTGGGGGTGATTCAGGGAATCACACAGCTCAGCCACTCCCTGGCCACCCTGATCTCATGACTCTATCCCAAAGACAGTCTCTCGGGTTGGTCAGAGTGGATCTCCTAGATCGTTTTTGTGTCCTGTCTGGCTGACGGCACACATACACTGTTTGGGTTGGAGTAAATTAAGCAAACAAGAATTTCCAGGTTCAGGTCTACCCCCTGCCAGCCCCTACCAACCAAACAAACAGAATCCTCCGGCCCCCTCCGTTTCCCGGGAATTCCTGCTCTCTGGTGTGATAGTGGGATATGATTCTAAATAAACCCAGAAGTATTAATGGGGGAGTAACTTTTGTGGGTTCATTCTTCATTCATTTACTTATTCACTCAGAAAAATATGGAGCGAGCCCCAGCTGTGTGCCAGGCACATCCTGGGCGTTGGGGATTCAGCACTAAATCCAGCAGATGTGAATATGCCTGCCCTCAGGAAGCCTGCATTCCAGCGGAGGCAAGGCGGGATGGCGGGATCCCAGCACATCCACGTGAAGCCAGATGTGCTAAGTCCCGGGGGGGGGGGGAATTCATGGGGGGAAAGGAGAAGGAAATGCCAGAGGAATGCTGGTTATTTTGATGGGGTGTTCTGTTCCTGGATGGCCTCGGAAAGGTGCCATATGTGCACAGTTCTGAGGCAGGTACGCAGGGAGGCAGGGAGGAACGGAGGGAGGCAGACAGGGAGGGAGGGAGGGAAGGAGCCCTGCAAATGTGCAGGGAAAAGCATTCCATGCAGTAGACGTGCAAAGGCGTGGTGCGGGGTGGGGTCCGGGAGGCATGCGCCTGCGTGGAGGGACAGCCAGGAAGCCAATGGGGCTGCAGGGGAGAGAGGCAGTGTGCTAGGAGAGGGGGCCAGACTGCCGAGAGCCCCAGAGGCCAAGGAGGGTTGGCCATGAAGCCGTCTACGAGCGCACAGCCGCCTTGTGAGACCTTGCATCTGATCTTCTTAGGAAGTCCCCAAATCATAGAAGCCCGACTCACCTGGCTTGCAGGCCGCTGAAACAACTTTAAGTGTTTCTTCCAAATGATACAGGACACCAGTGGAAGGCTGTGTCACCAGATCAGGACAGTGACATCATCGGATGAATATTTTTAAAAGAGAGGGACAAAGTAGCTGGGGGAGTGCAGACAGTGGTGGGTCCTGGAATCTAGGCTGGATGGGGGAGGAAGCGAGAGCAGGCGGCGGTGGGAGAGGCGATGGGGAGGAGCCAGCGTGGTGGGGTGGAAGAGTTGCTGGGGGTGGAGGACCATCGCAAGTGGGCTGGGAGAGGGGCGGACCCGGGGATGGACTGCACCGTTGGTTGTTCGGCAATAGGGTCCTAATGATGTGTTTTCTGCAAGTTTCCTTTTACTCCCCTGGGGCATAAAAAGCGAAGTGCCCTTTGGAGGGTGCCAATCCCTGGTGGCAAATGGTTGGCTTTGAAGCTGCCCCCCCTTGTTTATTAGTACCAAATGTTTGTTTTAGATCAAAAGGAAGATGTTTCCTTCAAAGGCATTTTTTTTACTTGCTTTTTTCCCCCTGCAGGTTGAAATTCTGTCTCTGAGACGCTAACAATCTTCCTGCAGTCGCTGCTCCTCCCCAGCAGCCCCCTCCTTGCCAAGGACGGTCCAGAAGGAGCCCCACTGGGGCCTCCCCGCACAGCAAAGCAGACCTCACCTCCCACTACCAGGTAAGGCGGTCCCACCTGTCCACCACGCCCATCCCCAGAGTTTGCATTTGTGGAGAAAATCCATTTTAATGCGGCGATTTTATTTTACAGAAAGGGTTGCGGGGTAGGGACGTTCTCTGCCGGTCTCTAGTTTTCAGGTCATGGTGTCTTTGTGGAGTAGGAGGGGGGCGTCGACGGATGCCCAGGAAGGTATGGGGTAGAATTTTTAAGGAGTGACCGCTTTTCGTACCCTGAAGCCCATCAGCCTGGCTTCGGGGCAGTTAGTCCTGGAAGGAGGGTGGGCGGGGTGTGGGGTCCACTGTCTGGTGTCAGCAGAGATGCCATAGAATCCAAGGTCAGGGCCTGACCTTCCCCTGCACGGTTCATGTTCTGCTGCCCAGATTGCCCCGCAGCTCAGGGAGGGCCCTGAAGCCTTCGTGCGGCTCTAGAGGGGACGGCCCAATGCCTCTGTTCCCACCGCCCCCCGTTCAGCTCTGACACTAACTGCCAGAGTCAGCGTCCGACTCCACAGGGTTCGGGCAAAGCGCTTTGTAAGACGGCTCTCACTTCGAATGCAACCTGCCAAGGCCACCTGCACTTGTGACCAGTGGCAAATTCAGAGGTTCCCAGGACCCCTCAGTTTTGATAATTTGCTACAATTCACAGAACAACAACAAAAAGGCACTACACTAAAAATGACAGGTGTATGACAGTCGTGTGACACACATAGGTTGAGGTCGGGCAGTGTCCTGGATACGGAACATCCACACCCACTCGCCGTGGAGCTAGGATGCACCACCCTGCTGGTTCACCCACAAGTTCACCACCCGAAAGCTCCCCGAGTCACGTGGCTGAGCTGTCTCCAGCCCTCTCTGCTCCCCTGAGGTGGGGAGTGAAATTTCCAAGCCTCTCATCACGTGCACGGCCAGCCTCACGATGGAAGCCTCCTAAGGGTCCTTATGAGTTGCAGGTCAGCACATGGTCAGGTATGGGCAGGAGTGGCTTGTTATGACTAACAGAAGACACTCCTATCCCTTGGAAACTCCAGAGGTTTTAGAGATCACCTCCCAGGAACGAGGGACAGACACCAGGTGAATTCTTTCTTAAGCCCCCGTGAGGTTCAGTGCAGCCCCATTCCCTGATGATAGACAGGGCAAAGCTGTGGGTCATTGACCCCCATGCAGGGAGGACTGGAGCCCTGAAGCCTGCAGGCAGGCTTGCATGACGACCCTTTCTGGGCTGAGCAGATGATACCAAGAACCCTAGGCAAAGAGATCAGAGGCCCAGACACAGGCTGGTCTCTCCAATACCCATCAAAAGATGCCCTTTCCAGAGCCCGCAGAATCGGAAATCTCCACGCACAATCTGGGTGCATGTCCAGGCATGTGCTGCTTGCTTCTCTCTGGTGAAGGCCATGGGTGCCTTTCTCTGCTCCAGGGCTCCCTGGGGTCTTCTTGCCGTAGCTCATCGATCCAGACTGTCCTGCATTATTCATTCCACAGCCTCGAGCCCCCGATGTGCTGAGCCCTGTTTGGGGTGCTGGAGACGCAGTGGAGACAAGGTCAAGTTCTGGCCCTCATGGTGTTTATATTTAGCAGGGACATGGAGAATAAATGTATGTTAGGCGCACATAATGCTGTGAGGATAAACGCAGCATGCTAAGACCAAGGCGAACGTTGGGGGCTGTGGCTTGCACAGGACAGAAGGGCAGGCCCCGGGTGCTGATATTGTGAGCTGAGACAGAAGGAAGGGAGGGAGGACCCCAGGATGTCTGAGGGGAGAGCGTTCCAGACAGAGGGAATGGCCAGTCCAAGGCGCTGAGGCAGCGACATGCGGGCATGCTGGAGAAGTAGCAGGAGGGGCTGGCGTCCCGGGGTCTGGGGACTGTGCAGGTAGAGGAAGGAGATGACGAAGAGGGTCCAGGACTGGATGCAGTGGCCTTTAGGTTGGGGCTGAGGATTTTGGATGTTGTCTTAAGGGTGGTGGGAGCCACTGCAGGGTTCTGAGTGAGGGATTAAATGGCCTGATTTGGGATGTATGAAGATGCCACCACCTTCTGTGAGGGGGACAGAGTGGAAGCAGGGGACAGCCGAGGAGCCCACTGTCCCACTCTATCCCCGGGAGCACTAGCTCTGCCATGGACCCAGGAGGAGAAGAGTGGTGGATCTGGGCCCATGTCTGAGATAAGCCCTTAAACAATTCCCCTCCTCTGCTGAAACAGCTGTCACTCCATTCCGTAAACCATCAGGGACCCCTCGGGGAGCCCAGATGGGAAGGCCACACACCCCAGCCGGTACCAGGACAGAGAAGCAGCAATGTGACTGTTTAGAGGGCAGGAATCCCACTCCTCGTTCTGGCTCCTTCTGCCCTGGGGCTCGCCGCAGTGTCGTGGTGAAGGCAGCGCTGCTGTGCCATCAGCCACGGCTCTTGGTCAGGTCACTCTGTGCCAAGATCACCGTGCTTGCAGGCTGTCTGAGAAAATGTATATTGGACACGAGGTTTGGGGCTGGCCTCAGCGCAGGACGAGCGACCCCCTGACATCATGCTCTGTCTCTGGAACCTCAGAGGCCTAGTTCCAAGAAGATGCTTGCAGCTCTGTCCCTAGGGGAGAGCCCCGATGTACAGACATCCTGCAGGCCATGACAGTAGCACCATCTCCCGTGCTCCTCTGAAAATGCTACTTCCTGCTGCCTCCAAGAAGGAGGTTGCAGGGCCCAGCCTCACCTTTCTGTGGGTCTGAGAACCTATGTCCCCCAAATAGGTAAATTCTTAGGGTCATCAACAGTGAAAGCACAAGACCAGCCCACCCCCGAGGGAGGGTCTGGGAAGTCCAGGGGCTGGTGGGGTCACCCCACAAGCTCTTTTGGACCTGAGCTGCTTCCCTCGGTGTGTTCACTGTCCAGCCCCTTGTTGATTCCAAAGGTGTGCTCTGAATTGTGAAGTGAGGAATCTGCATTTCAGAGTCTTCCTTTTCTAGAAGGGTGAGGTCAAGGGGAGAGAAGGAAGCCCCTCTGAGCAAGAAGCAATGAGGTCTGAGGCCTGTGTGTGGCTTTGACTCTCTGCCTGTCTTTTTTTCACCTTCAGGAGGGTGGGTGGTGGGTGTCTGAAGGAAGAGGGCCAGGGACACGTATCTGAGGTCAGGTGTGCCTGCAGACACCCTCCTGCTCCGCATGCTCCTGGGTTATCCCTGCGGCCTGGACATGGGCTTCAGAGAAGGGGCTGCCAAAACCACCTTTGGGCTACCAGAGCTCTGGCATGTGGATGCCATCGATGGCCCAAAGGAATGTGACTAGAGGAAGGGGCTTCCTAAGAGGGACTTGGAAATTAGTGATGGAGAAACCCGGGGAGGGAAAAGCCTGCAAGAGCTTTTACCCCAGTGAGGCGGGCTGGCCTTTCTGATTCAGGAATGGCCTTGGCAAGGAGGCCTTTGAGCGGGACTCCCCATCACTGCAGGCGAATCCTTGCTTCAAAGGAGAGAGTGGGGAGGAAGCCGTTTCCGCCTAGGACATTGCCTCAGCCCCGGTTCATTTCCTCTGCCTTGGAAAAGATCCCGTCAATTAGATCCCATTTTAAAGCTCATCCCTTTAAATATGGATTCAGTTTGGGTTTTACCGTATAGTAAATTCTAAGTCCTTATTAAAAACATGGATGGAAATTAATCTGCTGCAAAACGAGATTTGTCTGTTACATGCAGTGGCTGAGGCCTGGGGCAGATGGGTCTTTCAGGTCCACAGGGAAGAGATGGACCTGAGCAAAAGCTCCAGAGGAGGGTCATCTGCTCCTCCAACCCTGACCCTTCCCTTCCTTCCCCCCCGCCTTCGCCATTCTCATGGGGTAATAGGAATTTTCCTAAACCACGTTGCTGTCCATTGTTGGGGTCACTCAGAGGAGCCAAGGAGTGTGGTCAGTTGTCTCTTCTCCAGATGTTTTTGGGGACGGGTGCGCCTTTGTTCTGGAGCTGAGAGATAAACAAAGTCTTCTGCCCTGATGCAGACAGCCTGAGACGGGAGGGGAGGCTGCAGCGCACCCCGTGGGGTTGAGAGTGAGCCTGCCATGGTCAGATGGGAGCTGGGGCTGCCGCGCACGCCGTGGGGTTGAGAGTGAGCCTGCCGTGGTAGTGCAGCTTACACTATCCAAACTCATCCATCCACCCCGGACCCCACCCTCGGGGACGCACCCATGAGTGGCAACACGTGACTTCCCATAAATCATCTCCGAATGAGCGTGCTTCCTGCACTCATCCATCACGCCCGTCTCTTGTCTGCTTGTTTTTAAAAGCTGTTAAACTGGAATCCATCACAGGGGAGCATGGCACCCTCGAGGGCCAAGCCGAGACACAGGCTGCCCGCATCAGCTGTGGGAATGTGCGTGGGGCTTTCTGGAGCACAAGCCTGAGCGTTGCCTGGCGGCAGGAAGAGGGAGATCATGGCTTCATCTAGTTACACCAGAAGTGGATGGGACGTTGCTCCCAGGCTTGCAGCGAATGCATTCCTGCCACAGGAGCTTGTCCTACGTGCTCCTGGGTGGAACAGGCGATGCCCAGCCGAAGGACGTTGCTGGGGTCTCTCCTTCCTGCGGGGGCATCTTATTTCCTTCTTGGATCCAATATTTTAATGAGAAGACTTTAGTTTGAGCCGGTCTTTGGAGACATGGGTCCTAAAATCTTCCATGATTCCTTTTCTATTGATAAATGTATTTGGAAAATATTTAGGAGGGGTGCCAAGCTCAGCCACTTCAGTCCCTCATTCTAATCCTGCCTAATTCTGCCACCTTGCCCCTTTGCTTGCTTGTTCTCGGAACAAGCTCTGAGGATGTCCCTGTGAGAAAGAGGATGCAAGACAAGGACCTGGGGCCCCACTCCATTGCTTCTGTTTCTCCCTTTCTTCCTCCTCCTCCTCCTCTTTTCCTCTTTTTTTTTTTTTTTGAAACGGAGTCTCTCTCTGTTGCCCAGGCTGGAGTGCAATGGTGCGATCTCCACTCACTGCCAACTCCATCTCCCGGGTTCACGCCATTCTCCTGCC